ATGAACCGGAAGTCTCACCCATAGGCTTACTTCCACGTTGAAGAAAAAGGTGGATAAAGCCACAGAAGAACTGTTGCGTGTCTCCTAACAAAACACAATAGGTGTTGGACTTGAAGCAGCACAGCACAGACCGTTCTGTGTGACATCAAAGTACCGCGAGAGCGATTAGAGGGCATTTTTGAATGTTTGTTTTGATGTCAAATAAATCTTGCTTGTTTTGCTAAAGATATTTTAAAATGTTAAAAACCTATAGAAATGAAACAAGGGAGTTAACAATATATATATATATATATATATATACACACACACACACACACACACACACACACATATGTATATAATTTTGTTAACTCACTTGTTTAATTTCTATAGCTTTTTAACATTCTAAAATCTCTTTATTCCAAAAATATACTACAAGTTTGTCAGCATATTCAGTAGGTGTAATGTATGGTAAGTTGCTCCAGAGGCATAAGGTATTACAAGTACTACATACAACAATAATAAAATAGTGCATTGACATATAAAAGGAAATTTGCTCTTGAAGTACTTTAGTACTTTTAAAAGCAAGTACTTCTGTACATTTACTAAGTAAAAATTTGTCTTTACAACTTTCACTTGTAATGGAGTAATATTTGACCAGCAGTATCTGTACTTTCACTACTTGTCCACCTCTGCTTGTCATGCACCGTGGTGCCGAGCTATGACTATGTGGCTGCACCACAAAGCACCATTCACATTAAATTGTTATATTTGTCCCAAATCATTGCTAATATTACTAATAAATAACATAACTTCACCCAAGGCTGGAAGAATGTGTATTGTGCATGTGTAATAATATAGATTGCGCTCACTCCTTCCTTTTGCTATGCGTTTCATCATCTCATCGACGCCACTTTGTTCATTCTTAATGTAAACTTTCACATGTTAGGTGATTAGCTTAACTGTTTTGGACTACCCTCTTGAACTGAATGTGACGTTTTCAGGGTGTGATACCTTTGAGTTGTCCTAAACATGACATGGCACACCACTTTTCATCAGGGGCGTATTCCAGAAAGCAAGGTTAACTTACCATCTGCTAAACCCTGAACTCTCGGTTGATTAACCCAAACCTTGCTTAATTGAGGTATGTTGGTTCCAAAAACGCGTCCGGGAGTAAGTTCATTCAACTCAGAGTATGTTCCTGGTTAAGATTCAACACATTCTCAACAGAGCGACGAATCGACGAGTCACTGTGGAAATGGATGCTAAGAAACAGCGCCATACTGCTTCTTTCTTCTTCTGTTCATTTGCATACTTGGTTCATATCGCCACCTAACTGATGGTTGTGCAGTCATTTTTCTTTTTAATCTTTAATCCTTGAGAATAAGAATTAAATTGTTGTTTGATGCTAGTTATATAATAAGTCATATCAGATATGTGTTTTTATTATAGAAATACATTATAGAAAATGCCGATCCATGCTGTCAGAGATGATAATATAAAATGAAAGAAATATATATATATAATAAATTAAATATTACCTTGTCGTAATAGTGTTTTATAATTTATACAGATAACTATTATATATGCCAATAAAATAAATATAGTAACTAAATATAGTAAAATATAGTCCCAAATTTGAGGACTTGGTATTTGACTCGAGACTTGCTTGTGACTTAAAAGCAATGACTTGTTCCTACCTCTGCTGGCAGGAACATCCAGTGATGCTCCGACCAAACTTACTTTGAATGCACCTGACGACGTAATAACAACTTGCCAACTCGTAAATATCAATTTCACAGGTGGACTTGAACATACCATTTTAGTACATGGCAAGATATTTTAAACGTGTTCTGTGCACATTCTGGGAACCAGCATCTTCTATGTCCTCTGTGTTACAGCATCTTTCAATTTACAAATTAAGCCCTGCATCCTACTAACTTTACAAGTTGACATGTACTTGCAAAGTTAATTCTAGTCAGTACAATGTCTGCAAAATTAGAACTAATGTTCATGTCTGTCAGGAATACTGTATAAAGGAAGATTAATCGTGTGTGATCGTGTGTGTGTGTGTGTGTGTGTGTGTTTGTGTGTGTGTGTCTGTGTGTCTGTGTACAGGGAAAATGTGGTGATAGAGTTGGAGTATTCCCAGCTAATTTTGTGCAGCGAGTGCGTCCAGGTGAACGTGTCTGGAAGGTGACGCAAAGTGTCCATGGCAACAAAGACCTGGGCCACCTGACTGTTAAAGAGGCTCAGGTAACACACACACACTGCTTAATAATAGTTAGTAAGGTAGTTCGTAAGTTGGGTATGGGGTGTGATTAAGGGCTCTAAAATATGGTCATGCAGAATAAGGCATTCATTTGTGCTTTATAATCACTAATAAACAGCCAAAATGCTAGTAATATGCATGCTGATAAGCAAATAGTTAATAGTGAGAATTGGACCTTAATAATATAAAGTGTTACAGTTTGTAATACTGTGCAAAAGTCTTAGGCCACTAGTATTTTCACCAGCTAAAATATGGTTTCAAGTCAGTTATATCTATCTTTTGCTGTAGTGTGTCAGTAGGAAATATCAGTTTACATTTCCAAACATTTATTTTGCCATTAATTGTAATAATCCAGTGAGATTTTTGTTTGCACAAGGAGTCTGACAACAGCCAGTGCTCCACACAGAGATCTGATCTCATCATCATCCAGTCTGTCTTGAATGATATGAAGAAACAGAAAAAAAAACTGAGACAGACTAAAGCCCAGCTCACACTGTGTGATTTTGGCCATGATTTGGTCGCCTGAAATTTTGAAAATCCTAAAAAATTCCAATAATCCTAGGCTAAAATCAGTAGTCTTCGATCGCTGGTTTGACATATTCACCGGCAGCCGATTAATGGCTGTTGCAATCAAATTTTATTTAAATTCTAGCAGTGTCAGAAGATTTGGCGCACAGTCCTGCAGTGTGATGTCTCCTACGACAAACGACAAACTGTCTCCATTTTTTCAAGACAAGCCATGATCAGAATTAATGCTAGAGATTTCTTTTAACCCCCATAAACGCTCCCATCCTCCGCTCACGAAATTCATATGATACGTTGCCTTTGCTCTGATAAACACCGGTTGTGCTGCTGTTTTCGTGTGGTTGTGTAGTGCCGCTTACACTATTCTTCTTAAATACGCCGCTATTGGCGCCATTCATATTCTTTTCATGATAGCCAACATTTCAGCCTCGCGTGTAATGCAGCTCGCAGTCACTGAACGTGTATTGGATAATAATGTAAAACCCTGGACAAGTTTTCTTGCACGCACCCATTTTTTACGTGTTTTGACTGTTGTACAGTTTGATATTAATGACAACTGAGATCCCACAGTGTGACATGATCATCATGTACAGTCTGACAAGTAACAATCGTAAAGGACTATTAAAAATTGCACAGTGTGTGCCCAGCTTAAAACCAGATGTGGCAACGTCTCCAAGATGCTTCAAGAGACCTACCTACAAAGCTACATTACTGTTAAAAGTTTTAGGCACTTGTGTACAAATGCTGTAAAATGAGAGGATGCTGTCAAAAATAATGTCACAAATAGATTTTATTTATCAATTAACTTCTGTTAACTAAATTAAATCAACATTTGGTGTGACTATCCTTTGCGTTTAAAGCAGCTTTTGTCCTCTGTACACTTGCACATAGTTTTTCAGGTAGCTATCACTGTTCTTCTGGATTTATTCTGTCTTAATTCTCTTTCTTCATGTCATTCCAGACAGACTGGATGATGAGATCAGATCTCTGTGTGGATCACTGGCTGTTATCTCACTAGATTATTACAATTTATAGCAAAAGGACTGTTTGGAAAAAACTGTCGGTGCAGACAGCCTTGTGGGCAGCGTGCTGACATAAGGTTGTTGCACTTCAGGCATCCCGAGTTCAAATCGTGGCTGGCAGACATTTCCCAGTCCCGCCCACCCCCTCTCTTCCTGTCTACCAATTGGCCAACCAAAATAAAGGCAAAAATAAGTCTTTAAAATAACTAGCTTAAAAACCATTTTTAAAAATAAAATAAATCTTAAGACTTTGCACAGTACTGTATATATATATATATTATGAGGTGCCAAACAGGAAATAATTATATATTTTTACCAGTATGTGCGTTCCCTTGGGAATAAATAAATAAATATATAAGTCTGTATATCTAAATGTAAATCATTGATATACATGCATATCATGAAATCTGAAAATATGTATAAATCCTGAATATGCTGTATAAATGCAAATATGGATATATATTGTCTACATCTCAATATAACTATATCTTTATTATAAAGCATATCAATAGACTTTTTATTATACCTGTACATACTGTATATAGTTATCAATGTAAATATTTTTACTATATTAATTACATTTATATATTCAAAATTTACAACTATTTTTTCATATTTACCTCTGTTCATACAGACTGTAACTATATATTCAGATGTACTATTATATATTCAGACTTATTTTCTATATATTCAGACTTACAACTATATATTCATATTTACGTTTATATATTCAGAATTATATCTATATATTCAGATTTACATTTATATATTCAGAATTATAACTATATATTCAGATTTAAATTTATATATTCAGACTCATATATTCAGATTTGCTTCTATATATTTACAATTTACATTTATATAATCAGTTATAACTATATATTCAGATTTACTTCTATACATTCACAATTTACATTTATATATTCAGTTTTACAACTATATATTCAGATTTATGTCTATATATTCAGACTTATATCTATATATTCAGACATAACAATATATTCAGATTTACTTAAGATTTCACTTTAAATGTTTTACTGTACAAATCAAAATATTTTACTGTCAACAAATCATATATAAAAAGTTTAATATTCAACATAAATACACAGATCACTATAATCCAATGACAAAAATGTGATTATTTCATTTTATTACTGATCAGATGAAATGCATCTCACAGATGAAAAGATCATATGATTCAATGACTTTGTTTTTAGTGAAATCAATAGTAGGAAAATGAAACATGGTGGCATATATCTATTTAAGTAAAGGCTTCAGTTTATTTTCCTCGTGTTCTTTTTCATCTTCAAACCACATTTCTTTTTGTGATAGATTTGTGTGGGTAAGAATGAAGAAACTGATGGCTTTCTAAAGCTAAGCAGTGGTAAGAAGAGAGGTCTGGTCCCGACTGATTCGCTGGAGGAGATATAACAGCTTATAGAGATGAACACAGTCATGAACAACATTTATCATGATACAGCAACATAATTTACCACATAAACCTTTTGTATTATGTCAAATGTTAACACAAAAACAGGTTTGTTCAGCCTGATTGGATCCTCATAATTTATGTTTCTCTACCATCATGTTCATGTTTCTTTGTTTTTGGGAAAATAAGTTTTTTTCCTGTTATTCAGGGAAAGTGATATGTTGTTGGCATATATAATTCCTAGTGCATAGTGGAATAGAAATTTAACAACTTCTGGGGCCAGTTGCATAAACTGTTTAGTCTTAAAAAGTTAGTCATCAAATTTTTTTTCTTCAAGACTGGTCATAATTTTTTTTATTCGGTTATGAAAAGGTAGATTGGTCTTATTTTTATTGGAAAAGTAAGACTGATTTCCTCTTGGCAAATGCTAGCTGGCCAAACTAGATCTTAAGACACAGTCTTAACATGGTGGCTAAGTTTATGCAACTGGCCCCTGGAGAAGATTAAGGGTTAATCTGAAAAATAGAAATACTCTGCTTTTTCAAAACAAAAACGATACAACTTCCATTAGAATACTAACAATAAATACATTAATAATGGTTTTAATTAATAGAAATTATACGAAAAGAGTATTACGAATTGAGCAAGTCTCAGTTTTGTTCTTATCCATCAAACAGAAACTTTCACAATATCTTAAGAACATGGACTTCAGTTCCTTTACCATTGAACAATACTAAAAGAAAACGGCAGATGATATATCTAATAATCTTAAGTTTTGTAAGATTTATAATGAACACATACACCTTTCAAAGAAAGGCAAAGGGTTGGATTTCCTTCTATAAAACACAAACACTTATTTTAATGTGCTTGATTATCTATACTTGTGTCTGTGTGTGTGTGTGTGTAAGCAAGCACCAGCTTTGAAACAATTACTTGCCTATAAGAAAGCTATGAACTAATATACTTGCATAAAATTATATTTTTGCCCTCTTTTAAAGGGGTCATATGATGCAATTTCATTTTTTCCTTTCTCTTTGGAGTGTTACAAGCTCTTATGTGTTCATACAATTATGAAAGAAAACTATGTCTGTTCCATGTAATGTACTGTATACCTATTAAAACATTTTAATGTTAAAATATTCAGTATTTTATTACACAGACTAAATGAGTTGCTTGCTGTTTTATAAGACGTGGTTATAAAACATGGCTTGCTTAGCAAAACAAATAAATATTAATGGAACTCTACACTGACTAAAATTATTTTTTTTCTTTCAGATCATGCAACTACTTGCTAAACATAAAAGTGTGACTTTCATTTCAAAAGTGGCCTTCATTTCTTATAAACCAATGAATATAGACTACAACCTATTTTACACTATCACTGCTGTACATCTATTTTTGCCTGCCCTCATTCTGACAGACATTATGTGTGTATGTGTGTGTATTTAGTAATCAGTACACTAAAGTAGGGCAGATTTCAGAGATGACTAAATGTGCCTAACAGTAGAGTGCAGTGAGATGTCCTCATGAGAACATTATTTATTAACATTTTCTTTTAGTTTTTTCTGTCATACAGCAGGTGTTTTACCTGAAACAGACTATAGACCCACAGAACTTACAATACTCAGAATAAACCAGTACACCCCCTCTGAAACTTAACAAATTCAGGTATTACTCATTATTTAGAAGACATATTAGGGTTCTTTGGAGATACAATGTTTAAGCAAGTCTGCTTGATCAGTTACCAAATAAGCATGCCAAAATTATAGGCTACAGGAAATAAGATTTTCTTATCAAAGAGATCAAATGTTGCATTGCAACAATTAGTACACCCTTGTGAATTTTCTGGTGCAAATTAGGCAGTTTTGAACAACATGTAAGTATGTAAAACCAAAACATTTAAAGAGAAGTAATTTCTTGACAATTAAAAGTATTAAACAGCCCACTGAATAATTCTTCAATTTAATGCATCAGTTTAATCCATCAAATTAATCCATCAGTATAAAAGGTCACCAGTAATGCATGTCATGAACTTCTTTGTTTGAAAGAAACGTAATAGGCAGATCCAGGGCATGGCAATGAAATGCAGTGTCTCGTTCCTCTTCTTAGGGAACCAGGGTTACACTTCTAACCAAGAAGTCTCCTTTTGAATGGCAACTCAGAGTGCACCAGAAGAAGATGCTATGGGGAGCCAGGGGCGATTCTAGGATTTATCTATCTATCTATCTTTCTATCGCTCTGCGCCGCCGCGGTCTGTGGATTGAAAAAGAACGCACTGAAAGACTGGGAGGGGCCGATCGAAGTCTGCCACCATTTTCATTTGAAGTTTAAAGGGGACTGAGGCAATCAAGAATTTGTGTACAGTTTATGGAGCTAATTTCAAAATTTTAGGGGGGCTGAGTAGTCATTTTAGGGTGGCTATAGTCCCCTTAAAAATGGCCTAGTGACGCCCAGAGAGTAGAGAGCTGCATTGGGATTGGGACTCAATGCAAATCTACCGGGTGTGGGCAGTTTTACCTTTACTGTGGGCGGTCAAAAAAATTTAGCACGTGACCCGCCATTCCACAGTCCCATGATTTGGCACATAGCAAGAATAATGGAGTTACATAAACAGGTGTTTACATGGTGTTCATTCGTACATGATTACATTGCCCACCGCGGTACCATCTCCCACTCTTGTTTTGCTTTATTATAGAAATACAAATAATTTAGTTCAGCTGGAAAATGTACGCTACACTAAACTGAAAGCCTCTGCTCTGCTCTGCTCCGCTCCGCTCCATGGTTGCCAGGTCTGCTTGACAAAACTAGCCCATGACAGTCATAAACAGCCCAAAGTTGTGCAATGAACATATCCCAAATATCAAAGCCCAAAATATGTCATTTCCATACCTAAAATACATATTTTACAGTTACTGTTATGTACAATGATAATAAAGTTCAAAGGCTTCTTACCAGAAGGCTTCTTCACAAAACTTAACATCTAGCACAGTTTTATCATACGTAGATTGCAAAATGTTTCAATACAAGCATTTCAGTCAAATGTAATTCACCAATATTTCAAACTTTTAACCCACAGAGGAAAATTAACCCATGGAAAAAAGCAGCCCGATTCCATTGAAAAAATAAGGACTTGACCAACCCTGCATCCAACATGAGCTGCAGGAGTCAGATTTGACTAATCACAAGTCGAGAGTAAGGAGAGGTGACTGATAAGATGGTGGAGGATTTGCCGCTCAACAGATCCTGAGCTCATTGGCAAATATCTTATCCGGGACACACACAATGCGGAAGCAGGCGGTAATGGTCAGAAATTTAGCGGGAGTGGGCGGGAACCGTTTTAAGAAAACAGTCCCACGAAGGGCTCTACCAGGGCGAGCTCATGAAACTCGAGCTATTTAGCCCGGAGTCACTGTGACTTAAGGGGAGTCAGCGGAAAGCTAGGTTACATCTTTCAGAAACTGCAAAGATTTCCAAGGTCTCAAATTTCTAGCACTCCTGAAGGTGCCCAACAACAAGAAGGGTTCACAAATTAGGGTGTTAAAAGGGCCCTCCTATAAAGGTATCCCAGTAATGGAAAAGGGTTAAGCTATGCATCTAACCCTTGTCTGGAGGAAGTGACTCCAGAAGATGGACCAAGCTCATACCGTGGTGCGGAAAGCTACTTAAAGTGATCCAAATAGTGGGACAGATATCTGAGCTCTCAAGGAGTGCTAGATTACACCACTTGATAACTGCAGTCGATGGCCAAGGTCTCAAACATTTCAGGTAGGTGCCTAACAGCAAGAAGGGTTCACAAACTGGGGCAAAAAACTTCTTGCCGGGCAAAGAGACCAGCTTGAGCTCCTAGCGGCACAAAGGATTCTCCTAGTAAGGTGTCCCAACAGCAGGAAAAATGTTAAACCTTTGAAGAGCAGCTTCAACCTCATTATTACACAGGTCCTAAAGTTCGAATGAGATGAACACAGGGAAACGAGGACCCTACTTTAAGACCCAACAATGGGGAGGGTACTACTCTAATTTCAAGCCAAACACAAGGAAGTCTCCTACTTAAGGAACCCCAGAAACTGGGAGAAGCAGCTTCAACCTTTATTTCCAATGAGCACAGTTCTTAATAAAGAATATTTTATTTATTTTTAACATGTATACAATACTGCCGACATTTAAGCTAGATTAACAAACATTTAGAAGCAAAAATTAAACATTTAAAAGCAATTCAAGTGTAATCATCTGGATAATGGAGGGGAAGTCGTGGCATAATGGTTAGAGAGTCGGACTCTTAACCCAAGGTTGCGGGTTCGAGTCTCATACCGGCAGGGATTGTAGGTGGGGGGAGTGAATGTACAGCGCTCTCTCCCACCTTCAATACCACGACTGAGGTGCCCTTGAGCAAGGCACCGAACCCCCAACTGCTCCCCGGGTGCCGCAGCAAAAAATGGCTGCCCACTGCTCCGGGTGTGTGTTCACGGTGTGTGTGTGTGCACTTTGGATGGGATAAATGCAGAGCACTAATTCCGAGTATGTTTCCTGAAAACGTTGTCTCCTAGCACACTATGAAGACTCTAAAGTAAGGTGACCATACGTGCCATTTGGGGACACGTTCTGGCCAGGATTTCAATATTGACTAAAATATATGCGCTGCGCAGATTGATCGTTGTATGACATCTATGTACCTAGAGAGCAGAGCAGACAGCTCCTTATGCTTTCGAATCGCTCTCGAGGTACTTTGATGTCATACAACGATCGATCGCAAACAGCCGCAACCTGGTTATTTTAGGCAATATAGAAATTCTGGCCAGAACGTGTCCCTAGAAAATGCCACGTATGGTCACCTTACTCTAAAGGTATAACTTTTCTAGGCGTGTTCCCCAAACTATACTTTAGGAGGTTGCTTAAGGTATACCTTCTTAAGCCCAATTTATACTTCTGCGTTGAACCTGCATGGCTGTGTGTAGTATGCGCAGCCTACGGTGTAGCCTGACATGCACGTCAATTCTACGAGGACCGCAAGCACTGTGATTGGTCTGCTAGGACCCCTGTCTCCGTATGTATTTGAGTTTTGTGTATTTTTTGCACTTTAATATACTTAAACGTTGCACCTTCTTATCTGAAATAAAACTAAGCAAAGAACAAGTGTCTTATTATTTATACAACATTACATTATACATCACTTTGTTGTCTTCGACCAACAATGTTGTTCTGCTACAGTACCTTTGTGGAGATTGAAAGAATGCCATCTTCTCCTGTTCTGTTGTTGTCTCCTTCTTAGATAATTATTTG